AATAAAGAGAATGTTGTTTTGACAAGGGATTTATTTCGAGGTGTGTAATTATTACATATGTATTTTGTAAACTCTACAAGCCCACATAAATGTAGCTCATTATTCCAAATTCCCGTGCCAACATCTGTCCACATCCCTTCCTCACATTCCTGTCCCTCTGCTGCCCGAACCCCATAAACAGCCTGCCTCTGGGGCCTGTGCACAACCTGGATCCCCTTAAAGCGAGCTCTCCCACCAGCAGCCTAGCACTCCTCCTGGTTCCCCACTGCACCCCAGGCCACATGGTGAGTGACGTCATGGTGTGAATTTGCACTCAGAAGGTCATCATCATGCACTTTGCTTTGGTCTCAGGCCGGCTGCTTGCGTTGTTGTTACACGTCGGGCTGCTAACCGCGAGGCTAGCAGTTCAAAACCAGCAGCTGCTTGGCGCAAGAGAAATGAGGCTCCCCTACTCCAGTGCAGAGTTACAGTCTGGCAAACTCGCAAGAGCAGTTCTACCCTATAGGGTCGCTATGAGTCAGAATTGACTCGGTAGCAGTGAGGTTTAAAGCCATCCCAAGGACCACCGGTGGCGCGATGGTTGAAGCGCTGGGCTGCTGAGGACAGGTGAGCAGCTGGAGTCCCCCCCATCTCCCTGTGGGACAGTCTGCTTCTGCAAAGACCGGCCACTGCAGACCCCTGCGGGACAGTTATACTGTTCTTTCCGCAGGCTCCCTGGGCATCAGCATCGACATGAGGGAAGAGGGGTTTGAAGTCACCGCAGGCGGGATTCTTAGCACCCAAGGGCTTCCCTCCCCTCTCAGCACTGCCCCTTCCTCCTTGCCAGAACAAGCCTGGGGGCTCAGGCCTTGTGGGTCTTGCAGTAAGTGACAGCCACCCAGCAAGCGCGAGCGACCTTACACTTCTCACCCGATTCTTGGCCTCTTTTCCCTCCCCTCCCTTTTCCCTCGGAGCCCTGTGTCCCTTGCCCACGCGTGAAGCCAGTCCAGAGCATGACGACGGTTCCGTGGAGACTCCTGCCTCTCCTGAGGGGGACCTGGGTTTGAGTCCCAGCCAAGGCACCTTGTACACAGCCTCCGCCTGCCTGTCACTGGAGGCTTGTGTGCTGCTAGGACGCTGAATAGGCTTCAGTGGACCTTTCCAACTAAGACAGACCAGGAAGAGAGGGCTGGAAATGTGCTTGCAAACATCTACCAGTGAAGACTCTCTGGATCATAGTGTCTGGCATCCAAACAGCCATGGGGACAGCTGAGGGCTAGGCCTCCGCTGGGTTCTTTTGTGCACAAGACCGTAACTTGGGGGCTGGATCAATAGCAGCTAACAAGGGGCTCCCACCGACCACTTAACTATGGCTGATCCCCACAGAGGACTTCTCAGCTAAGCCACCAAATTGGACCAGCAGCACAGCGATTGCTGGATTGGGGGGAACTCCCCATTCTACTTCCGCAGCCAATGGTACAGCCTGGCAATTCCTTTATCCTGGAGTGCAATGCATACGTAAAGTACGTGTCCAGTCATGCCTCCTATAGGGAGAGCCTCAGTGGTGTCATTGTGAGCTGCACATTGGGCTGCCAACCAGAAGACTGCAGTCCGTTAAAACCCCCCAGGGAGAAAGGTGAGGCTTCCTACTCTCATAAAGGGTTGCCCGCTCCGAAACCCACAGGGGTAGTTCCCCCCGTCGTACAGAGTCACTATGAGTCAGAATCAACTCAGTGGCAGAGAGTTTGGTTTAGAATGCCTTCAATGCAGTCCATGGAAAAAGTGCCTGCTCTTTAATCATACGAAATGGAGAGGGGCTGGTGGGGGCGCACAGGGAGGGGGGCGTGATGCAGGACCAACTGAAATGTGAGCAGAGAAAGGCCTGGGATGTCAAGTCAGCCAACAGAGAAACTTGGCCTTGAAGCCCCCTGTTTGCTACTGAAATTTCTCTATCTGCTGCAAGAGAGAACATGCTTTGCTTTCGTCTTCAGCCTGGGGTGTGTGAGAATCAGGAGGAGAGAGTGTCCCGGGGAGTAGACGGTGGAAACGATTATGCACACCGCTCTGGTGGCCACGCCCATCCCTACAGAGTGAGGGAGGTAGGAGAGGATGGTCGCAAAGGAGTAGGGCACGTAGAGGATGAGGAAGTAGATCATGAGCTTCATGGCCCCCACGGTAGCTTCCGTCTGGGGGTTCCAAAAGCCAGTGGCATTCCTCCGCATCTTCTGGATGTGCCTCTGCAGGGAATTGATTAACAAGGACGCTGAAGTCACGTTGAGGATGAACTGGGGGAAGGAGCTCAGGAAGGAAGACATCACCAACACGACGGCGCTCCGACTGAAGCCAAAGGTGGACTGGTTCCTCTTGGGCCCCAGCTCCGAAATGGATGATGTCCAGTTGATCATAAAGAACAGGAGCGTGGTGAGGGTGGGGGTCAGCACAGAGGCCAGAAGCAGCCGGGAGGTCTTTGCGGCCAGATGGCGCTTCAGCAGAAGAAACGCTGCGTGTTGGAGGTTAGTAATCTTCACACAGTACAAGGTGTTGAGTAAGGTCACAAACCACAGACCACTCGTGTCCAAGAACATCCAAGACAACAGGAAAAAAGTGGACAAAGAGACTGACCTGTCTTGGTCCGCGGCGCTGAAGATGAAGCCCATGTTCAGCAGTAGCAGTCCCAACATGAGAAGCCGGGAGACGGCCAAGCTGAACAGGATCCTGTCGGAAGGGGAGCGGCTGTGCTTTGTGGTCCACGTCTTGAAACTGACCACGGCAATGAACAGACTCATGAGAAACCCCACAAAATTCAGAGCTACCGAGGCCACGAGGACACAGAAGAAGAAGACCGGCTGCATCGTCTCTGGGTGTTTCGTGGCCACGACGGTAGGAGCAGGAGGCATGTCGAAAGTGGGAGTCCGCACCGGTGTCTGGCAGGGAAGGAGTCTCCGATTTTAATTTTCCTCAGTGCTGCAAGTGAGCCATTAGCGGGGCCAGCTGCTCTTGCTGGGATGCAAATCTCCCTAGGATCGCATTACCACGTCTTCACTCCTATCCTATTTCCTTGGAAAGGCCCAACGAAGGCAAGTCCCCATGAGCCATCAGGAGCAGGAGGCTCCTGGGGAGACTCAGGGCAGGCTCCACGGGCTTTGAGTCCACACTGGGGAGCTACGGCGCAGCACTGTCTCTGAGCAGACAGACCATGGCGAGAAGTCCAGGCCCTACTCCGACTGCCCACCTCCTGAGACATCTGGGCCGGTAGAACCCAGCTGCTCCCTCCCTCCCCTGCCTGTCCCTGGTGCAGCCACCTTCTTCCATGGTCATTCAGGCTGTGCCACTACCATGGTTTGCAAGCATCTAATCAATGGAGTCCCATGTGGGGGAAAGGGCCCCCAACAATCATCATGAGTCCGGTAGGCGCAATTGTACAACAATAAAAAGTAAAGATTATAGTAGTAAAGTCATAGAGAGCATGAGAGATTGAAATAATGGAGTCAGACACATTTTATGGTAGTCTGCTCACCTCAGCTTCACTTGGTGGTCCACGTGCAGAGAGAGAGAGAGAGATTTATTGCTACCTAAGGCTTTTATACTCTTTGGGGATGTGCAAGCCCCCTAATTACAGGTAATGACATAAGGCACAGGAAGGGGTTGCACTATAGGGGACAATCTAGGGATATACATGCAATAGGAAGGGGGTGGGGTTAGGCTATACATGTGACAAGGGAAGATCCTAGATTCAGGGAGGAGCTTAATTCTGGATGTCACTGAGCCACTTGGACCTGTTCTCTGGCTCACTATAGAAACCATTATCAGTAGGGTGTAAACCCACCTACAGGAACCCCACCTGCAGTCCTCCACCTACAGGATGACTGCAAGCCTTTAGGGAGAAGTAGCCCATTGTCCTTAACAGCAGGGAGTGGGCCTTACTTGTGGTGGGACCACACAGTACTCTGGCAACTGACTGCTTTCAGGGAGGGAACTTGACAATCATTTACCATTAGTTGCAAGCAGTGTCCTAAGTCTCACCTCTATTTGGGGGAGACAACTTGGGAGAAATGTTTCTGTTTCCCACAATCCCAGGGCCCCTCATGCCCTCCAGAAAGCTCTTTCCAGTTAAGCCCACCTCTCCCTGCTCATTCGTCTTCCTCACCCATCGGCTCCAGGGACATGCTCTGGAGAGTCACTGCACTCAGGGAGCCAGGATCACGCCCTGTGTTCTCTTTCCAATGTCGGGGAAAGAAGGGTTTTCACCCTGAGCCTGGGTTTGTGGTTAGAACACACAAGGCTGTTTTCTGTAAGCCTTGGACTGTCCATCAAAGTACTCTGGTGCCAGGAGCAAAGGGCTGTTCTTGTTGTAAAGCCAAATGCTCACTGCCTGACACCCTGCGATGGACCAGAGTACAGAGAATGAGATGGCGGAGGAGCGCCATCACTGAAGGCTGTTGGAGTGATGGGGGCAGGATGGCGTCTTCTCCGCTCTAACATTGGATGAAACCAAGGTGCGCTCCCAGATGCACATCCAGAGGGGCTTAGAAAGTGGGTGGCAAGTTCCATATCTTTTCATTCCATTGTCCTGTGAGCTTTTTAGAGCCTCCTTGTTTAGATTACCAGGCTAGCAACATGGAAACCCTTACAAAGTCCTATTACCAGAGTCAATAGGACCAGGCAAGAAGAAGCCGCTATGGTGGGAAGGGAGCCACATCCAGAAGAGGAGAGTACATTGCTGAAGCTCTTTAAAGGGGCATTTGGCAGGAAGATCAGCCTGGAGGAATTCCCTGTGCTGAAATCCAGATGCTCATAGAGCATTTCCCACAGAGCCCCTGGGCATTGACAAGGCAGGCAAATGGAGCCAGGATCTAAGGGATGCTCACATTACAGGAGAGATTTCCACTTCCTTTATCTGTAACACGGGCCACAGTGCATTAACGTAGCCAAGCTGAAATAATCTAGAGTAAGATATAATAGATAACTATTCCAAGGATAGAGGGTGTAGTGCAACCGGTTTCTCTTTATAGCTGGCCCTTCAGGCCATGTGTTTATAGTCTGCCAAAAATAATTGGTCGGGCCTATGATTGGTCTATTTTACAAATCTTGTAGAGATTGGCCCATTTAAAAGCCACCCAAGGCATATTACATGTGAGGATTTGTCGGTTTCAAGGCCACGCTTTGAAGTCGAATATAAGGGCCAATTTCACAGACGGTGAGGAGGTCCTCACTACCATCAAGAAGAGCCTGATGTGGAGTGTCCTTCAGACCCAGGATCCCATCGCTGAAAACCTCCTAAACCCAGAAGAGAGAGTTGTAACACTCAGAGGGAGATGGCAAGAAACAGCAGCAGGCATGGCATAGCCCCATGGCAGCAAGAGGAGCAGTGAAGCCAACAGACCAGTGCCAGAGGGCACAGTGGGTTTGCCAGTCTGTGGAAAGAGAGAGGCTCAAGTGCCTTTGGGCAGGAAGCTTGCTGACAGAATGTAAGAGTCATGCCAACTTCCCAAGTAGACTGAGGCCAGCTTGGGAGCATGCCCAAGAGAAGGAGTATCTTTGGGTATATCCAAAAAAGATGCCGAGAGCAGTCCTGGTTAGAAGCTATCCTGCTTGTCAACGTTTATCCTGTCTCTTAAATTGTATCCTATTACTTCCAAGTTGATACTTGGAGAATCATAGAATCGTGACCTGCTAGTCTATAATAAAGCACATAATTGTGAATCCAGTCTGTGAATTCTCTTTAACTATTACAATGAATTGCAAACCCCAGCAGAGAAGTAGAGACTGCCATGGAGACCGTGGATGGTGTCAAATGATGATGTTGGAGAGTAGAGGGAGGTCTGAGCTCCACTTTCGGTACCAGCTTTGTGTTGATGCTGATTCTTATCTCTACTCCTGAATGTAGACAGGCCTTGATTCTGGATTACAGGGGACACTCAGCACTGGGAAGTACAGATAAATCAAGGGGAGAAATAGCAAGTTGTCAGGTTTGTTGGACCCTCAATGGCTGACAGTACTGCATTCGAGATACAGTCAAGTCAGCTAGTCTAAGTCATGACCAAGGTAGTGTGAGAACTTATTTCTGACTTAATAAGAAACCGTTCTTCCTCTGCAGGAGAATTTGACCTTCAATCAAACTTTCTGGTTCTATTCTCTTTGACTGGTAACAGTGAGAAAAACTGGCAGTTGACCTGTTGATTGCATCTGGTCTAAAAAGGGTTCTGAGAGGCTCATAGCCATCAAAGGAGCTCCATGCTCTGGGCTTGGAGACTGACTCTTCTCCAAGAGGGGTAAGTCTACTCACAGGCGTGACCCTTGAGCCAACCCTGAAAGGAAGGATTGGGTAGGGGGAGTCCCGACCATCACACTGTGCAAGGAAAAGTTCAGCCAAGCTGATGGGAGCATCCTTGAGCCAAAACGGCCTATTGGTACATCCCCATGTCTCAGCAGGATGCCCAGCCTGTCATCTGCCATTGTCCAGGAGGCTCTGTGGAGGAGAGGCTCACCGTGAACATCATCGTGGTCATGTAGCACCGTACATGGACAAACAGGTAGGTGTGCGAATAGAACACGGGCATGCTACATGGTCTGCCATCAGGAAAGGTGTATGTCAGGGCTGCTTCGCCATTGTGCTTCGTTCGATCTGTGTGCTGAGCAGATAATGGGAAGAGTGATTGTGTGCAGAAGAGCTTGGCATCCGTTGGAGGAAGGCTAAGAAACAACCTGTGATGTGCAGGTGACACAACTTTGCTCGGATGAAAATGAGGAGGCTTCAAGTCCTCCTTGCTGATGAAGATCAAGAATTGCAGCCTTCAGTATGGATTACAACTCAGTGTCAAGAAAGCCAAACTCCTCACGACTGGACCAATAGGTAATTTCATGATCAAAGGAGAAAAGATTGAAGCTGTCGAAGATTTCATCATGCTTGGATCCACAATCGGTGCTCATGGAAGCAGCAGTCGAGAGATCAAACGAAGCATTTATTGGATAACTCTGACACCCAATACATCTTTGAAGAGTTGAAAAGTAAGGATGCCACTTTGAGTGCTAAGGTGCCCCTAACCCAAGCCATGGTAATATTAAGGGTCTCTTGTGCATGTGAAGGGTGGACATTGAATAAGGACGACCAAAGAAAAATCCATGCATTTTAATTATGATGGTGGTGAAGAATATTGAAAGTACCATGTACTGCCAAAAGGACAAACAAATCTATCTTGGAAGAATTACAACCAGAATGCTCTTTAGAAGCAAGGATGTTAAGACTTATGTTGGATCTGATATCAGGAGAGACCAGTCCCTTGAAAAGGGCATCATACTTGGAAAAGGAGACAGCAAAAAAGAGGAAGACCCCTGAGAAGATGGATTGAGACCATGAATGCTACAATGGGTTCAAACATAGCAATTGTCAGGATGGCTCAGGACCGGCCATTGTTTGATTCTGTTGTACGTAAGGTCACTATGAGTCAGAACCACCTTGACTGCATTGCACCTAGCAACCAGTGAACAAGACTGCACCTAGCAACCAGTGACCAAAGCCCACGTGATAGGATGATCCTTCCTGTTTGTTCAAGCTGGGACAACCTTTCTCAGCCTGACAAGAACAGGTGTGGTACTACTCCATGTGGGACAGTAAGCACTTTTCATATATTAGCTCACCTGTTTCTTCCAACGAAGGCATTAATGGTTCAATGGTAGATTCCTTGTCCTCCAGGCAGGGGACATAAGTTTGATCCCTGGCCAATACACGTCATACACAGCCACCGTCCATTTGTGAGTGGAGGCTTGTGTCTTGCTCTGTTGCTGAAGAGATTTAGGCAGAGCCTCCAGACCAAGTTCTACTTCTGAAATTAGTCATTGAAAAGTCCATGGATCACAATGATGTGACCGACAACCAATCACGGGCACTGTGTAGGATCACGCAGCATTTAGTTTCATTGTGCATGAGATACCATGAGTGAGCATCTAGCAAGAACAGCCAATCGCATTTCTTCCAACAACTCAATCAGAAAAATACCATCACTATACCCATTTTACAAAGCAGTAGATCAAAGGACACCGAAGTTTTATAAAATGTCCCCAGCCTCACCCAATTCACACGGTCCAAGGTTGGGATTTGAGCCCACATGGGTTGGGTCAGAGTTCACATTTTTAGCCATAGCGCTCTACATTAGTGCTAAGAATCCAGACTCTCACATACCCTGTGTCTTAACTGAGTGCCTTCACGCAGAAGAGGCCTCTCCCTGATAGTAAGCCCCAATCTCCTCATGGCTTGTCAACATTATTCATGAATGCCCAACATTGTACAGTGGCCATTACAGGTGTGGCTCTCACCTTGAATCAAGCAGCATATCTTTTGCCATGAAGGGTCAGGAGGGACTCTCGAGCTGCAGTCTGGTGAAGGACTCCTAGGCTTCCTTCTGGTCCTCTGCCAGTCTATGGAGAGAGGGTCTCCTGGAGCCTAGCATCACATGCCAGACTCAAACTGGAACAGCCTCACAAATGCCTGCCTCAGCTTAGGCTTCCCCAGAATGAGGATCAATGAGTGGCCCATAGGATACAGCATTGTGGCGGCTTCTGTGGTCATCGATACCACCTTGGTTGCTGGAAAGAAATAACTGGGCGATGCGACTGAAAAGGAAAGGAAATAGAGCAGGGAGAGGAAGAGGAAGGAGAAGATGACACTGATGGCCCTCTTGTGGGCTACGGTGCTGGGGTCCCTGGAGCCAGACACAGGGTGCTGCATCTGATGGGTGTGTGTCTCAGGGAAAGGCTGAGCAGAAAGTAGGAGGCCAGGGGCACAGCCAAGGGAGGGAGGAACCACAAAATTTCAAGAAAATGGAGCACCTTGTATTCATGACTCTTCTTTCTGATATCACTTGTCACATTCTCTGTGACGCCGGAGTGGTCCTTAAATTCACGGATCAGAGACAGAGTACTTCCCAAGGACAAGAATAGGGAACCCAGCAGCATCCACAAGACCACCCTGGAGACCCTCCACTTGAGCCAGAGGAAAGTGGGGTGGGAGAAACTGGCGATCTTCAGGCAGTACAGGACACCCAGACAGGTGGTGAGCCAGATGCTCAGATGATTTGTAAATGTCCAGAAGAGATCGATCAGCTTCATGACAATCCCTCTCTCATGTTCGTTGGGAGAGAATAACATCAAAACCCCATCAAACAGGAGAACCCACAGCAGAACCATCCGGGAGAGGGCCAGGGTGGTGACGATCGAGTCATACAACGAGATTCTCTTGCTCTTGAGCCATCCACGGCCATTGAACAGCCCAATGAAACCATTCGCCAGCAGCCCCAGAAGGAACTGAGCAATGGACTGAGCCAGAAACACCCACTCGGCAAGTCCCAGCATGTCTTCTGGAAGTCTAGCTCTGACCCTTTCTGTGGATGTACCACCTCCTTGCTGACATGGAACGCCGCTCTGAATCACTGGCTTCACTATGCCCATTTCCTTAGTCCCGGTTCAGTCCATCATAGAGCACAGGTGAGTGGGTCCTCTCTGGCCCTTTCCAGGTGAGCGTGCCCTCTTCACAGATGGCGCAGATCATCATGTTTCATCTATGATCATAAACCCTGCAGCTCTTTGCTAAATGCAAATAGAGCCGGGTCCAGTGTCCCTGCAGTGGGAGAGAGGAGTTGCAAACAAGATGGAGGATGAGGGCCTCATTTCAGAGGAAGCGGCTTCTGAGCCAACAAGCACCACGCTGTCCCAGAGCTCATGCCTTAAGCACTATTAGCGGTGGGTGCCTGTGGGTCTCTGGGTCTGTGCATATGTACACTCCCTGAACTATAGATCATTGTAAAATTTTCTTAGCCAATTTCTGAGGGAAAAAAGAGTCTCATCCCTCATTTTGGTGAACTCAGAGACCCAGCAAAGGGGATCTATCAGAACCCACTATGGAGCACTGTCAGAATCTCCCTGGAGGGTGGGGAGCTCATCAGGAGAAAACACCCAGGGCCACTGGCTTAGGATGCACATGGAAAGACATGCCTCTCGGAGCTTGCTTCACACCAGGAACTCCCAGGTCATCACTGTGTACAAGTATACATATATTGAATCTTCTCTATGGGCCCAAACCCAGCTATTCCATTGGCTTATGTAATGTTTACCATGGCAGTTACGCAACAATGATATGGTGAAATGCCACAGCAGAGACACATGTCATCAGGAAAGACCAGGCCCTGGGGAAGGACGTCATGCTTGGTAAAGTAGTGGGTGACCAAAAAAGAGGAAGCCCCTAGACAAGACAGATTGACACCGTAGTTGCTGCCATGGGCTTCCTCAGTGCATCACCTGTGGAGATGACGTGGGACGAGGTAGCTGTGCTTTGCTCTTCTTATTGAGGGTCACTGTGACCTGGAACAGACTTGATGGCAATTAACAACGTGTCTGCCCAGCTGGACAGCCATACTTGGTCCACCAACCCTTGTGGGTCATCTCCAGATGTGACAGGAGAATCTCTTGTTCTACCCAGGCCAGTAGGAAACTAGGTAACGCCATCTAGTTGTGGTTCTCTTGCGCATCACACCAAGAAAACTGAAATCTCTTCTGGAGCCACATAGCACCAAGGCACCAGACGTCAGCAGCTTCTGATATCTGAGCATGACCGCTGCTTTCTGTGTGTACATCAGCCCCACCATCTCTCGCTCACTCTTCCAGTACTTGTGTAAGCAATTCTTTGCATTCGATTCACTCTGGTGAAATACTCATAATGGATTCAAAAAATTAAATCTATCATTGTTTTAGGTTTACTATCTTTTTAATTAAAAAA